TGTTTTTACGACAATTTTCATTTTCAACAAAACAAGAAAATTCGCTTTTTCCTTTTTGTTAAAAAATTTTTCGCTAACAAATTTAATTGGTATATTTCAAAAATTTGAAAATTTTTCCAGTTTTTTCATTTGGCACAAATCAAGGGATCAAAAGTGAAATAAAGTGAAGGAAGATCGTTTAAGCGGTGGGTAATTTATAAGATAATTCTATAATTTAAGCTAACAGAAATTAGTGTGCGATTTTACTAAAACCAATTTCATACTATTTCAAAATCATTTCATCCATTTATTCATTCAACAATTTCATGTCAATTTAGATCCCAGGTATGCTAATCGATCAATATGAAGTGGGTGAAACAAGTAAAAGTGATGAAAATTTCAAAGGTAAGAGAGAGAGAGAGAGAAAGAGAATATAATTAGCAATTAATTTTATTTCATAATTTTATATTATATTTCATCTTCAGAATTTTTCATAATTTAAACAACAATTTACCAAAATATAAAACAGTCATTCTATATTCCATAAAAATTCAATAAATTCTAAATTCTAATTAATTAGTAAATAAATAACCTTCTTATAGTATGTAATAGAATAACATGACACTCTTAGTCCTTTGATCATTTACTTTTCTCGATACATTCAGATTATGAGTAATTCGGGACTCAGACTATTAGTAATTCGGTGCACCTGATTGTATAGGATATCAATGATAAGGTTATCTAATGAACTGCAGGTTTAGATTGATAAAAATTAGTCAGATTTTCAATTAGACAGAATTTGAATGTGAAAATAGGATGGAAGATTTATTATACTATGTTGATTTTTTGAAAATGGAATATAGACATTCTTAAAATAAGAAGAAAGAATGCTGGTCCAAAGCAAGTTTATGCTTTAAAAATTTTCGGATTTTTTTCAGACCGTTATGTTCACGGCTACCATGAGTCCAGCAATTGAGCGATTAGCTCGAGCATATCTTCGACGCCCGGCCGTTGTATACATCGGTTCTATTGGGAGACCCACAGAGCGCGTCGAACAAATCGTATATATGATTGGTGAAGAAAGCAAACGCAAGAAACTTGTTGAATTGATCTCATCCGATGCTTTTGAACCACCTATTATCATTTTTGTTAATCAAAAACGGGTATTTCTTTACCGTATTATTAACCTTCTTGAAGACAAGGCTTGATTTTATATTTAGTTTTCAATTTCAGGTGTGATGTCAGTAAGTTTGCAATTTCTCTCACTTTGTGTTTCTAGGGAGCAGATATGTTGGCCAAAGGCCTTACGAAATTGGGTTTTCAACCTTGTGTTTTACATGGTGGCAAAGGTCAGGATGCTCGGGAATATTCGTTGGCAGCACTTAAAGATGGAACTAAAGATATTTTGGTGGCAACAGATGTTGCTGGACGTGGTATTGATATCAAAGATGTTTCTCTAGTTCTCAATTATGATATGGCGAAGTCAATTGAAGATTATACTCACAGAATCGGTCGAACAGGTAATACTATAACCTTTTGATGTTTATATAGTAAGCTTAAATATGGGTTCGATATGTTTCGCAGAAATGTGTGACTGTCAGGATCGAAAGAAATCACATAAATGGAGAAGTAAAATTGCAACTTGCAAAAGATATTTCATTCTTAAATTTAGATTTATCATTTGATCTTTATTTTCCTCATTTCTGAAGTGATAAACTTCTACATTTCTATGACTCGATGAGTGTCAGTTTCGAAGCGTTGTAAATATTTTTTTTATCAGCTAAACTACTGAAAGTGATCATTTTGAATTGAAATTATAGTAGCTGGAGATCAGAAACGGCGAAATAAATCACCCCACATACCTTTCTTCTATACTTGAAGTGGTGGCACTTATAGTAATAAGTGTATTGAAAAGACATTACGTCATAAAATCAAAATGAATTGTTGAGATATTTTAGAAGTAGCCTATTTTCTCCTGTTTTTTTGAACGTTTTTATTCATTTCTCAAAGTAAGCATTTTTATAACGTTTGAAAGAGCTGAAGAATAAACCAGCTTCTGTTATTATTTCATTAGCTTAACGAATGAATTTACTTTTGAAAAAGAAGAGAAGAAAAGGACGAAGATGCCAAGTTTGGTGTGCTTGCTTTTCCCCTATTCATATTTATGTTAGTGATTAAATTGTGCACTTCAACAGTACAACATTATTATCTAACGCTGGTTGGTACATCTTCTCTTTTCCATTTCTTTCTCTCTTTTTTCTTTCTTTGAAAAAAAACTTTCCCTTCCTTCTTAGACATGATTTCGGTTACTTCAAATGAAAATCATTTGTTAAAAAGAAAAAGGAAGAAGAATCAAAAAATTTCTTGCCAGTATACACTTATTCCTCCTCGCAAGCATACACACATCATTCCATTGCATTTAAAGCTTTCCTCCTCTTCCTCTTCCTCCTCCTCCTCCTCCTTTTCTTTTATTTTTCCTGCTTTTTTCCGTGTCTTTTTCGTTTCTCATTTTAATTTTTTTTCACATTTTACGATGTTGGTAAACTTTATTGATTGTTGCTGTATAGAGCGAGAAGAAGAATGGAAGGGATAGTGAATGAAAATAATTACTGAACTATCATAGATTGCTTGTTGAAATTTCAACAAAAAACAATAGTGGTAAGAAGCAATGATGGAGTAACATTTGATGGGAATTTTCCAACTAATTCCTTTTTCTTTTGTTTTCTTTAATAATTCAGTTTTAATTATCTATTCTTTTTCTAAATATTCTATTGTATTTCCTCATTTTTTTTTCCTTTCTTTTTCAATACGTTTGTGTGTTTGTGTCGATATGAGTGAATAATTTGAGAAGTTTAATTGGATCGTACTCCACAAATACCATCAAAAACATTTTTTTCATCCTTTAATTTTCGAATATTGCGAATCTTCTTAAATCTCACTCATAAGCGCTCTCTACAAATGAAAATTGCAAATGAATTAGTTTCTGATTAAATTCATCTTTATGGTTTACCAAATACAAATAATTCTGTATAACTATTCCTTTCTTCAGGACGTGCCGGAAAACATGGTAAAGCGATAACTTTCTTAACACCAGAAGATAAAGATGTCTTCTATGATTTGAAACAATGCCTTCTGGAGAGTCCAGTATCAACTTGTCCACCAGAATTGGCCAATCATCCGGAGGCTCAACATAAACCGGGTACATATGTTACCAAGAAACGTCAGGAAGAAACACTATTTCGTAATTAATGTTGTTTCGTTAATTATTCTTAATCGTTCAGTTGTTTGTTATTTTTATTGTAAGCAGTATTTGTCCTAATGCTTGTTCATTTCTTCGGACTTCATTTGTTTAATATGGATGATACATATATAATGGGAAACAGCATATATTTCATCCAGCAATAATACCTCTGCATTGATTTGAAAATGCATTATTTGGATTTTAGAGATGTTTTCTTCGGGAATTACTTATGATAAGATTTTATTTTTCAAAGTTAAACTTGATGAGATTGATTATCAATTTTATTGAAATATTTTCAAATTGTTGCTTTTTCTGTTATTTCAAAATGTTTCATGTTGTAAAGGAAAACTTTTATTTCTCTGCCGAAATTTAGTAAGTCGGAAAGATTTTTCTTTGAAAAATTAAAAGTGAAAAATTTTTAAATGAGTGATAGGAATTTGGTATACATTTCACTTTGTTAAAGAATTTGATGATCTTAGGATATAAGGAAATTTATTTCCAATTATATTGTTAAACATAAATTTGATTTAAATTTTGTAGTTTAGTAAAACTAAAATTGGAAGTTACAAAGTATTTGGCTTTTTGAGTGAATTAATTTAAAAATTGTTTTTAAACTCAGTATTCCATTACTACCATAAAACTGTAATAAAATTGCGCGTTTTTTTTCCTTTCTTTCGTAGCGGTTGATAACAACTTCTCGGCTTGTTTTGTAACATATTGGTACTATTGATTACTTGTATCATTTTGATTTTTTTTCCTTTTCTTTTATTCAATTTTTTCGAACTTTTTAAATAGGGTAAAAGAAAATATGAATAGTCGGAGAATTCGAGATGAACGATGTATTTGATATTATCGGTTTTGAGGTTTTGGAAAAAAAAGTATTGTGTTGGCAAACAAGTCATAGGTTGGTTCAATTTCAAATGGGTAGATTTGTAGAGTTTACGCAATGAAGAAATTATTGGTAGCACTGTTGTTTCAGTTATAGGTGCACGTGCTTCGTGTAGAAATTAGACGTATTTCAAGTTATTTATTATCAGATTTTTGGTTTCTTTTTTCGCCAAAATACTTTGTATAGATTTAAGTTTTGTCGCTGCGAGAATAGACAAAATATAGTAGAATTTAATTCAATTTAGATAATTTTTGGATGTAATTGTTGAACGTTGTTACCTATAATATTTGCTCTTGATAATGAGAGAATAATTATAAAGAGGAATAAAAGTGTTGGAGAGAAGAGGAAGAAATAAGGACATAAAAGTTTTCCTTTCTTTTCTTTTTTAATAGACTTTAATTCTTGGGAATGGGTTTTGTGGCAGAGTTAGTCTTAACGATGTTTTGTTTTTATTGTGCTTTTTTTCTCTCGTTTAATTGTAACAGTTTTGATAAAATTACATTTCTAAAGTAAGAGATGAGAGTTTTATGAGAGGATAGGAAGAGAAAATTATTCGAGGGTTAGCGAAATTTTACGAATATTTAGAATGGAGAACTTTGTACCTCATGATGACAACGATGATAATAATGAAGAAAATGTAAGATTTGCCACGAATGTTTAGATGACAAATTAAGTAACATTGAATTATGGGTTGGATTGCGAGTTTTCACGTGTTCGAAATTACGCTGTATTTGTTATAACTAAGAAATTTTTTCAGGATTGATTTGTCATCAGGTATTGTGCACTCTGTGTAAAATCGTGCAGAACACGTTCGGGCAGTAGCACGAAGCACTGGATTTATTCGAGTGCACCGGGCTCTAATGAGTCAGGAGCAAGTCATGTGATAACTAGATGGGGGACGATGATTGGCCGTCACAACGATTTCGCGATCATGTTATTAATCGATTGGAACCAGAATTAGCGAGAAATCGTCAAAATTCTCCAAATTTACCCGTACCTGGTGATGCAAGACAAGTTGGTTATTGCTGTTTATGGTTTAAATGAGGGACGTCAAGCTTTGAGCGTTCATATATTTACCATTTGGTTAGACGGAGAGGGATTTATTCTCTTGTTTACTTTGTTTTTTTGTCACTTTGATCTTTTGATTACTTGAAGTTATTCAGACCAGACTTGCACATCAGTATTCTAATTGCTTACACTTACACGCTTATATTAAATGAAATTTTTTTGAATTTTTTAAATATAAAGGTTTAGTTGAGTTGCACATTCAATATTTCGCTAATATATGTGATATAGTGTTGTTGAAAAATTTATTTCATTTCCCAAATTTGTAGTACCTTGTTGTTAAATCTTTCATGACGTGAAATGGAACAAAGTGTTTTATAGGTGGAGGAATATGTTTTCAACAAATGCGTCAGCAAAGATGAGTATATGCGGACAATTGCCAAAGTTATCAATGCAATCAATTGTAACTGTAAGTATTTTTTATCTTATTCTATCACTTAGGTAGAATAATTATGAATCCTGGAATGGTTTAAAATACGAAAAAATATTAGTTATAATTAATCTAATTAAGAGAAAATTTAGTATGAAATGACTCGTAAGAAGTTAGGGTGATACTAAGTATAAGGTGAAGTGATACTAATTAGGGTGAAGCCAAGTATAAGTAAGGAATTTTTAAACAATATAAGTAAGATGATTCCAGAGAAAACAATAAGAATAGCTATTTGTATGTTCATTTTATTAGATTTATTGGGATTGTTAGGATATTTTGTGTGCAACAGTGGTTCAGCTATTTTAATTGATTCACTGGTTAGGTATTAGTGATTGAAATTATTTTACAGATAGGGGAAAAAAAAACCCCATTCAATTGACGAAACGGATTGATAGTACGATGATATACCAAATCAGGCAGAAAATGCACAATAAGATTTATAAAGGATTTTGGTTTGAGGAACTTTATCGGACTGTTTTTTTAGCAATATTTCTCCTTCTTTTGCAGCAAAATCAGCAACAGTACCGTCCGTTTTTCAACCGTCTCGCATCCATCCGGCATCGCAAAATTATCGGACCGCGGGTCTTGGTGTACCACCGGATCCGCAACCCACCCACCAGCAACAGCGACAAAAGGTTATGGTAAGCATGAGGAAACTTGTATAATTTCAAGATTTGGTGATTTCTCTATGTTATCCTTTCGATTGTTTGTCTTACTTGACTTCAATGCTGCTTTTCTAATTGTTTACCGAAATTTCTTTCATTAGAGAATGTTTCTTTTGATACTAAAATAGTGATACTAAAATAGATGTTTAACATAGTGAGAAATCACTAAATAAATTATGATACTGCTTTTGCATTGACATTGATGTTTAACCTGCTTTCTTCAAGTGAAGCTAACTCTTATTTTTTGCAGGATAGATACCATGCTCCATTTGTTCAACCGCCGCCAATGATACAGTCGCAGCAATCATCACCTAGTGCATTATCTGGCGGTAATATGCAGCCGTCACAATCCAGTATGCAACAACATTCTCCATTAACACACCCGGTGGTTCCTCAGCAAACACCGTATAATATGCTCTCTCCAGTTCCCTCTGTCCCTGGGTCACACAGTACCTCTCCGAATCATCACATGTATAGTCGTGTGAAAACTGAGTCAAAAAGTGGCAGTAATGATGGTACAAGTGCTGCAGAAGTTCCAATATCGGAGTCAATGTCCACTCGTGTATGGAAGCGTGAAGTTGCTCCTTCCAGCAATTATTACTCAGCAGGTATTTGATTTTGAATTTTAATTACTTTTCAAGATTCGCTATTATTCTCCGTATAACATTTTCTGTCTTAACATAGTCTCAGATCATGTCAGTCGTATTTGGGTCCCCAAAAAAATGTTAACATGCGTTCACTTGATTTTTAATTACTTCTGCAAGAAATTAATCTTTACCCTTTTCTAAAAGATATATTGATTGCTGCTTTTCAATTGTTGTCTAATGCGTCATCACAAACTCCACAGGTCCCTACGGTGCTACAGATTCCAGTCAGTACATTGAACGTACCCATTCATCGGCATCGTTTATGCCACGAGAAACACCCATTTCTCCTTCACAACAAAATGCTTCGCCACACCACCAACAACATCATCAGCCATCAGTTTTAGAAAATCTTATCAATTCACCCCATTATGGGTCACCGACGCCATCCTCACGGCATTTAGATGGATCAGATAATCAAAACGTTGCTGATTTGCCATTTGGAAATGCCATACAACAAAATGAAGAGGTCAGATATTCAGAATATATGACAATGGATAAAAAAATCCCAAAAAGTGGGATGCCAGGCTTTATTCGTCAGTTTAGTATATTGTAATATACATTGCAGAGAACAGTTGGATTAATCGAGTATAACTTATGTGAAATTTCCATCTAAATGGCTCATAGTTATTTTTCCAAATAACTGCATATGCGGTTATAAAAATTTAAAACTCTCATAAATCTATCGTCATTTTAATGTCTAATTTATCGATTCACTTTATTAACCAAATTGCTTTTTTAGAATTTTGTTAAAATTAGTCTTTTTTGCAATAAGATTATCATTCTGATGTCAGTTAATCTATTATTGCAGCGTATGTATACCGAGAAGTTACGCTCATT